CAGGCTTGGGGCAGAGGGGCTGGAAAGCTGCCCAGCAGAAAAGGACCTGGGGGTGCTGGTTGACAACCAGCTGAACACGAGCCAGCAGTGTGCCCAGGTGGCCAAGGGGGCCAACAGCATCCTGGCTTGTGTCAGGAATAGTGTGGCCGGCAGGAGCAGGGACGTGATTGTGCCCTTGTACTTGGCACTGGTGAGGCCGCACCTCGAGTGCTGTGTTCAGTTTTGGGCCCCTCACTCCAAGAAGGACATTGAGGTGCTGGAGCGTGTCCAGAGAAGGGCAACAAAGCTGGTGAAGGGTCTGGAGCACAAGTCTGATGAGGAGTGGGTGAGGGAACTGGGGGTGTTTAGCCTGGAGAAGAGGAGGCTGAGGGGAGACCTGATTGCTCTCTACAGCTACCTCAAAGGAGGTTGTAGCCAGGTGGGGGTTGGTCTCTTCTCCAAAGTAACTAGCGATAGCACAAGAGAAAACAGCTTCGAGTTGCACCAGGGAAGGTTTACACTGGATATTGGGAAGAATTTCTTCACCCAAAGAGTGGTCAGGCATTGGAACAGGCTGCCCAGAGAGGTGGTGGAGTCACCATCCCTAGAGGTGTTCAAAAAATGTGTAGACGTGGCACTTTGGGACATGGTTTAGTAGACATGGTGGTGTTGGGTTGATGGTTGGACTTGATGATCTTAGAGGTCTTTTCCAGCCTTAATGATTCTATGATTCTAATTCAAGGCTAAACCCATGGAAAATCCCAGATGTCCCATGCAGGAGGGTTGTGTCCAGCATTGCGTGCTTGCAGCCACTACTTGATCCCTCTGCAGGGCTCTTCCCAAAGCTGAAATGCCACCAGCATCTTCCCCTTATGGACCCTCAAGGCTGGGCTCTCCTCTATTTTCTCCCATTTTCCGTGAATTCAGAGCTGGCTTGTGCCTAATGGGGCACTTTGCTCATTTAAGCTGATTTGTGCTTTCCCCGTGGAAGGGAAGGACCCCCTTGCCCCATGACGCTGTGCCTGGTTTTCTTTGGGGAACGCTGCTTTCCATCCAGGTTTTCGCACAGCCAGTGTCTTATCTCAGCATCCTTATCCTGCCCGCAGCACCTGGTCCACAAATACACCCCCTCGCACCTCCAAAAGCAGGGATTTGGGGTCCTTGGTGGCTCCCGTGACATCTCCAAGGGTCACCCGAGGGCTTCCTGGGGATGGCTGCCTGGGCTGGAAGCACATCAAAGGGGGGGGTGGGGGTGGGAAAATAGCTGAGTGGTGATAATGGGTTTGGGGGTATAAAGAACCCCACTGTCCTCCGGACAATCCCTCATGTGTTTTGCATAGGGCAAAGCAGGATAAAATACGGGAACGGGACGCTGCGCTCACTGCGATACGTGGGATCTGCGCCCATCCACATCGCATCCAGGCTAAAACATGTTGTTCCCCCCCCCCCAACATGCTTCTTTCATTTAATAAAACCAGTATGAGGAACAATATTTAGGTTTCTGGTCATATCGCTTGCATCTAAAACCCTGTAAAATAGTATTCATTTTTAAATAAGCAGAAATGAGGGAAAAGGGACAATGACCCCCCCCAGATGCCAAGATCACAGCAAATCTCACCAAATTGCCATGGCACCAAAATTCCACATAGATAATAGAGTAGGAAAAAAAATCACATTTTTTCTTTAAAAAAAAAATTATTAAAATAATTTTAAAATCCATTTCAGCACCCGTTGTTATATTTAGCACAAAGATGTTTCTGCGGCAATGCTGCCCTTTGCCGGGGCCCCGCAGCCGGTCCACACGCAGAGGGGTTTTTCTCACGCCTCTGAGCCATGACTGTTTTAATTGTTTTAATTTTTTCATTTTTATTCATTGGCCTGCCCCAACGGCATCTACAGAGTCCTCTCCACTTCTATGAGAAGGTCCCATAAAAGAAAACATCTTTATTTCTTCTTTTTTTTTTTCCTTTCAGCCATAGCAGGTTTATGCTGCACAACATGTGCTAAAACGCAAAGATTTGGGTCTCCTGTCAGCACTATTTTTTTAACACATGGGTTTTACAAACGTAGTGGGACACAAGATCTGATTTTCACCTTCATTAACCAGGGAAATTATCTTAGTTATTCAACGATTGATAGATCTACCCCTCTGCCTGTATCTTTTTAACCTTCCGAAAGGTTTCAATTGAGAATCGACAAGGCAGATTAGTTTGATATATAATAAACTGACTGTTTAGATGAGCAGAAAATAAAAATAAATCTATTTTGTAGGTGTTACCAGGGCATGCAGCTGCAGTTTTATATTGTAGAATTTCACCTGTCATGGATGTCCAAGTACCATAAATTTTTGAGATGTAAATGTTGGAAAATGAAGGTACACAAACTCCCCTGGAGGTTTTCAGCACTAATTCACCGCTACGTGCCCAAGCGTTGGACCTGCCATGGGTCGAAATCCTGGGGAAACAGGAAAACCTGAAATAAAGCCACAGCAATAGCAGACACCAAGCACCTCGGTGCCTCCGCGGGGCTGAAGCTCAAATTTGCCAGGAGCCTGGTGCGTTCCCCAAATCCCCACAGTTTGACGCTGTAGAGGATTATCTAGAGGGGAAAAAAAAAACACCAAGCACCAAAATAAACCTAAAAAACCCAAGTGCATCTCTTAAATATAACCCATGAAATGGAAATATGGATGTGTTTTCCATGGGTGTAGGAGATGAGGGCGTAGTGACGTCTGGGAGCCACAGGCACAGCTGAGCCCAGCGATGCTCAGAGGATGCCACAACATGATGCTTTGCAAGAAAGTGAGAGCAAAAAGTGGGGTTTTTTCTAAATAGCAGGGGATCAAGGAACAAACCTGCAGTTTTTAGCGCAGCGCCAAGTGCTAGACAGCTGGGGTATGACTTTCCAGGGCCACAAAAAAACCTCCTCAGGTGCTGACCAGGCACGTTGTCTGAGCCATAACCACTGGAACCATTATCACTTGTTTTCCACTTAAAAAAAAGGGGGGGGGGGAAGAGTTTAATTATTGGCTGCATGCCTGGCCAAAGGGCTTTAATTATCCTCCTTGTATTTTAGCTTTTATCTCTGGCCACCTCCACCCCTCTGTTTCTCTTGCACCATTCCTGGGGACCCAATATGTCTTAGGCCACTCACTCCAAGGCAGTAATTAAAAGGTCTAATTAAAAAACATGGGATATTGGCCCAGGACACAGAGTTCCCCACCTGGGGAGTGTTCCCAGTGGGTTCCCACAGGTTTCCCCACGTGATATTTTTTTGGGAGGCTCCGTTTCCAACCTATTGCCGTTTTAACCGCAGGGGTGCCCATCACGCCACGGAGCACAAAGCCCGTCTGACATGTCATGGAAAAACCTTAAATAGCCCAGCACGGCTCCGGCAGGCGTTGCATTTCCCCGACTCCATCAGGTGGGTCAGGATCGAATCCCATCAGCGCTCGAAAACCTTCAAGACCCAAGTCCCCAGCCCCAGTCATCGGTGACAAAGAGCTTTTGCCATCGTCCCACCCAAGCAAGGATGAGCCTGCGGTGAAGGTAATGCTCCCCCCCCAAAATTTTTATTGCTAACAGGGTTCAGAGCTGGTTTTTGCCACAGTTAAGGATTTCTTTCTTTTCTTTTTTTTTCTTACTCATATAACTCAAATGGCTGAACAGATTTTCTTCAAAGGCTCCAAAACAGCCAGGGTCTAGCAGAAAAAAAAAAAAAAAAGGTTATGGAGAGTTAGCTCAGAAGGGAGCCTGGGAAATTAAAAAAAATACTATAAATTAGGGTCTGAGAGGCTGCCTGTTAATAACGTATGCTCTCAGAGCAAAGCTGATGGAAGTGGTCAGAGACAGGGTGAGGGGCACCTCTGCTCCCAGCGACATCCAAGAGAGGATGTCATGGGAGATGTTGCTCACTGGGTGTGGGGATCATGACCATCCTGCCGCCTCTGTGCCATGCCAGGGTGGGCAGCATCTGGCTGAAGGTCACAGATCTTGCCATGGTGAAGAGTCGTCACCCTACGATAATTAACCCATGCAGTTCAGAGACCCATCGGGTCTCATTAATTAACCAAATCATGGGAACTCCTCTGCCCAAAGGGCTGTTCAGGCACTAAAACATTTAGCAACCTGGGTTGCAAAACACAGCAAAGTGAGATTCCTGGCCAGGCTGTGGAGATACGATGTCCTCTGCTCCATCCCTTGGGCACAGCTCCCCTCTCTGCAAAGTCCCTCCATCTCTGGCTAGGATGGAAAACAGATGGTCCCACCTCCTCTGGTCTTTGGAAAGCCTTTGGCAGCGCTCAAGGGCACCCACATCCAGCCCCAGCAGCCGTCATCCACCTCCATAAAGGGAGATGCTTTCTTTGAGCTCGCTGTTTGAGATCAGGACACCTCCATAGGACACTTGCTTGTGTTCCAGCCTGGATGTTTCAGCACTTCATTGCTTTTCTTGGGAAAAAAAAAATCAAGAAAAGGTGGGTGATCTTCCCACCAAATCACATGGATGCAGGGATGGAGGCATCAAGAAAATGGATATCATATCTCAGGATATCAAGAGACACATGCTCAGATCACAGGCCTTGACAATAGTAGTTGTTTGACAATGGTTTCCAGCAGCTTTTGATTCCTAAAGGGCAAGTACTAATGGTTGGCAACCTCAAATGCTCTATTTGGAAGAGAGGACATCTAGAGAGCAATCCAATGGGGGTATATCTCCACTGCAAGTGTAATGTGCCCCTGAAGGCCATGTCTGCATGCAAACCTGGTGGCCCAACCTCAGCTAAGGGTATTAGAGCACTTTGGCAGCTCTCAGGACCATGAGATGGGCCCCAGATGACTCATAGGGATCCAGAGGACACCCTGGCCCAGGTGGCACTTTGTCCTTGGTGGATCAGGTACCTGGGAAGCGGCCAGAGCAGAGGTGGCAGACATCTCTATGCCTTTGCAGGTAACTCCATGAGCGCAGCCTTGCAGATGATGGCATTCGGTCTTGCTCTTCTCTCAACCCTCTTCCTGCTCCTTGCAACATGCACCGACTGCTGGATGGTGAACGCTGATGACAGCGTGGAGGTGAGCAGAGCAACCGTCTTCGAGGTTAGCAGAGCAACCACATTCAAGGTTAGCAGCTGGGAGCAAGGTGGGTGCCTTGACATCTATGGGGTTGCACCCCATGCGGGCTATGGGCTTGGAAAGGGGACATGGCGGGACAAACCCCCTGATTTCTGCATGAGTTGGAGGGTTAGACGATTAGAGAGAGAGAGAAATGCCAGAGCAGAAGGAGGACACAGAGAACAAGGCATGGGTAGGGAGTCACTGGGACATGCCCAGCTGTGGTGGTGAAAGCCTGAAGATCCGCATTGCTGGGCTGGGATATTCCTGGGGAGCTGGGGTGCTTTGTGGTGCTTTTTGCTCGAGTGTCTTTCTCCTGCTTCCAGGTAAGTCACAAATGCCGGGGGCTTTGGAGGGAGTGTGTCACCAACATGCAGGATGGGGTCAGGACCTGTGACCAGTATGACTCCATTTTGGCTGACCATCCAGGTAAGATGGCGTGGCCTGGAGGCATTTTTAAAGTTCACAGCTAGAAGTTTTTCCTCTTCCCTTTTCAAGATGATCCTCATTACAAAGGGTTGACCTTCAATAGTTAGCAATGCAGGCCCAGGGCTTCTCTTGGTCTCCTGACCCATCAGCACAGCCTGGACAGCAACCCATGGTTCAGCCAGATCTGCCATGGGTTCACCAAGCAGGGGAGAGGCCATGAAGCTGTGTCACCTCACAACAAAGGTGTTTTGGCACACAAAGTCCAGGTGCAGCTCCTGCCCTCCATTGCATGGTGGGATGTTGCATGCCAGGGGTGAGGACCTTTCCCACTGGCCAAGGACTTGCGTCCTCAACTCAGGGACAGTCATATCATGGTATGGTGACTTCTGGCCTGCACAGGGCACATCAGGCCCTGCACAGAAGAACCATTGTACGAGGTGATGACAAGGGTCAACACAGATTCGGGCAGTGGAGAAGGGAACAAGAAGTCAGCATGGACTAAGTGGGCTCTTGTGCTGCTCTGGGGAAAAAGTTTTATAGGGAGAAGTCACATTGCACACAGCTGGTGATGTGACCTGTGCCAGCTCTCATATTTTTCACTGCTATGTTGACATTTGCTGTTCAAAACACCAACTACACAACTTGGTGGAAAAAACAGACAGTCTGGACAGCAGCATCTTCTGTTTAAGCCTGTGCAAGAGGGTCTTGAGTAGGTGACCACATCCCAGCTGCTGATTGGTGCGCCTTAAGTCGTTTGGTTTCTTGAGCTGGTCTAATAATGGGCTTATGAAGTTCTGTCGCAAGATTTCAGATGAGCCTGGTGAGCACCTTGCCTACAGCACATGGCAGGCACGGGGTTAGTGGGTCCCAATGTAGGTATCTCCTACGGACATGCCCATCAGTGAGCTGGATGACTCTAGCAGTGTCATCCACTGCTAGCTGTCATCCAGCTAGACACTAGCATGACTCTCACAGGCAGCAATCTGGACTGGGGAGACCAGTTCCTCTGACCATTCCTCAGTCCCCTTTCTGTTTTGTTTTTTTTTTTTCTTTCCCTGCCTAGTGAAGATTGTGGTGACACGGACCCTGCTGATCACAGCGGACCTCCTGGCTGGCCTGGCTTTGGCTACGTTGCTCCTTGGGCTTGACTGCATCAAGTTGCTCAAGGAAGAGCCTCACGTCAAACTGAAGATGTGCTACGGGGCTGGTGTCATCCTCAGCATTGGGAGTGCGTGGCTGGGAGAGCTCAGGGGCCAGATGGACCTTGTGGCCCATGGAAGCTGGGGAGATGCCAGGAGCCAGGGGCACCTCCTCAGAGGTTGTGGGGGGTCGAAGGGGTTGTGTGGCTCTTTTTTAACTGGCCCTGTTCCTTCTAGGTATCCTGGGTCTTGTGGGCTCCATGTGGTACGCAGTGGATGTCTACATGGAGAGGGCCATGCTGGTGTCGCACAATATATTCCTGGGAGTCCACTACGACTTCGGGTGGTCGTGCTGGCTGGGGATGGCTGGCTCGACGGGCTGCTTCGTGGCATCTGTCCTGCTGACCTGCTGCCTCTATGCCTGCACAGGTCAGTCTGCCCTGTCCCACCCCATCCCACCTCAAATAGCTTTTGATCAGGGATGTATGTGGGGTGAAGGACCAGCTCTGGGGGTGCAGGGACTTCTTGTTGGGTCCGGCCAAATCAAGGGAAACCCCTTCGCAGTTTGCCCGTGCCCCTTGGCTGGGGAGGCTGGGTCATGCCAGGCAGGACTGGGCTGAGTGAGGACCCCGTGAGCCCCATAAGGGCAGGGAGGGGGTGCAGAAACACTCCATCCACATCTGTGGGATCTTGAGGTGCCGGTGAGGTGTGTTGATGTCTACCCAAGACAGTGGCCGTGCTGGAGCTGTGACCAGCCAAAGCCTGAGCTGGTGGCTACAAGGACATGCCAGTGGCAATCTGGCCGTCCCACCATCAGGGCCACGGGGCAGGTGATGTCTTGCCAGACATCATCTCTGTCCCTTATGCCTGGTCTCACGGGGTGGAAGTGAACCCCTGCCACGTCCCCATGCTGTGGCACCCCTGAGCCCCTCCTGCTACTGCCAGCCATGACACAACCCCAACTCTCTCCTGCCAGACTCCAGCAGCCGCTGGCAACCCCAGAGGCTTCCCCAGCCCCACGGCCGAACAGACCCCGGCAAGATGTACGG